ATAGCAGTTGGTGTCACTGTATCTCTCTTTGAGGAGCTAATAGGAGGTAAGGAACAGTACAGCCATATTTTTACAGAACTACAAACTTAGGTATCCTGCTGAGCAGTGACTTGGCCTTAGTTCTGCCTGTCCACCTAACCCTTCTCAGTGTCTAGCTGAGTTTGCATGTCGGAGCTTCAGACGTGGTAGCTCTTGCCAAATGGCCCTTCATGCAACGTTCGTGTCCTATTAATGGAACAGCCCAGAAGCCCCTACAGGAGAGTGGGACGCAAAGCAGGAAATTTGCATATGACAAGGAGTTTGGTATTTCTTTTCTTTTTGCTTCTGCATAAAACTAAGGCTTCCAACAGTGTATATAAGAAACTAAATCTTCCAGAGTAGATATTTACCTGCAACACCAAAACATCAAAGCCAAGTCCCTGCTCTTGACCAGAAAGATCAGAGAATTGAATCTGGATCTTCTACGGCTCAGGAAAAAGCCGTGAAGGTTTGGTTCTTGAATCTCATGGAGGGGGAAAAAAAGGGCTCTGTTCTTTCCATCTTTCATTTTCCATTCTTCCTTCTTCAAACACACATTTTGACCAGATCTATCCCTGTCTCACACACAACCTCAGAAATCAAACAGCTCTTCCAAATACAAGTTGTCATACTTTGTTCCTCTGGATACCTTTCTTTTTTATGAATCGGTATTTTCTAATAAAAGAAGACTTACTTTTTTTCTTTCTGTTCCCAGACACCTGCTCAAATATACACTTACCTTTTCACTGCAGACCTTATATTTAATGATAAAGTATGAGATACAATTCCCCCTTTTACAGCTAGAAAAAGGCCTGTTAAGAGTGTGACAGAATTTAAAGCATATGATTTCTAGGCCAGTTCTGTTATTAACGGTCTGAATTTCCTTCCCTTAAACATACCAACACAAACTGTTCTTTTGGCTAGAAACAGAGTGAAGAACAGAGCAGGCTGTGGCATTTCCTTCAGATCATCCTGTCCCTGTGCCAAAAGCCTACCTTTTTTCTCTTGCACCAAATGCAATGAGTTCAGAGTAGCTGTGTCTTACGTTAGAGGAGAACAAGCTCTTGATTTTTTAATTTGCTTTCAGAATACTGAGAGTACTTCTTGAACACATTTTTTTGACTCATTAATGCTTCCTTAAGTTATTTATTGGCATCAGTTTGAGCAGAACACAAAGAGAAATGACCCCTGCTTTTCAACTTCTGTTAGAGGATGGGGGAAGAAGAAAGAAATTGTCCTTTAAAGTATATTTCTAAGGCACAGCCTGCCCGGCTTATGAAGGCAGCTGAGGAAGTTCTCACTTTGAAAAGATGTGTTTGTGAAACTCTTATTTCTCCTCCCACCCCTTCTTTTCTTCTGCAATGTCCAGTCTTGAAAACAAACTGACAGATGTTCTCTTGGATCAGCTTGTGAGACTTGCAATGTCAGGAGTGCAAACAGACTTGAGCTGTTCAGTTCAGGAAATGAGATGCAGACAATCTGATAAATAAACAGTGTTTATTACTCCAGTTTAAAGTGTGCTTTGGATTTCTTTTCAAAATAGTCCTGCGAGGAACTGAGGATTAATATTAAACATGTGCTCCTAATTTAGAGACCTCAATAGCAAGGTCGGAGTGGTCTTTAACTTACACAATTGATATAGTAAGGTTATAACAGAAGTGAATGTTTCTGAACCTTAACCAGATTAAAGAAACAATAACAATAAATTTGAATTACATAGAAATTCACTCCAAAGGAACTTAAAAGGCTTATGAATACACAGAGATCAATCAGAAAATAGGATTTAGGACAGTGTGTGGATTAGAATACTTTGTGATTTAAACTGAGAGACACAGAGATTTAAATCAGCTGATACATAATTACACGATTTGGATAGGGACAAGACAGAGTGGAAAATATACTCAAGCAACTGTATATGCATTTCAATGCTTATGGAGTCATAAATTTAGATTTAGATATCATCCAAACGGCACTTCATTTACAAGCAGCATATAAAATCACCAGTGCAGCACTAAGACATCATTTCATTATTAATTCTGCATAATGTCATGTGCCACCCTACATCCCTGTCACGGCTACGTGGACTACACAGCACAGAGGAGACCAGCATCCACGGCTCCAATGATACATACGCAGCCAGGCAGAAGCTGGAACAGCCAGGGACCATAAACCTGACCTGATCTGACCCGGACACACAAACAAGCAGGCACAACAGGACAAGTAACTTCAGAAGAAGGCAGCAAGGACTTTTTTTCTATTGTGGGAAAGGGAGGAAGAGGGTTTAGAATGCAGTAGGTGAGTTTTGGAGCTGACTCCTGATATCCTCTTAAGGAAATGGCAACTACATGCTCCACTGTCCTTTGGGACGTAGACAAAATCACAATTTGGCCCTCAAGAGAGAAGACAGATACCCATTGAGTCACTAGTAACATTTCCTGCATTGCTTTGGATTTGTCTTGAGACACCTCCCTTCCAGCAATGCCATAAGCATCATTTCCAGCAGACTGAGGTGATTCAGAACCCATGAAACAGTCATTTTTCCAAGTGACGGAGAATTATTACTGAATGGGTTATCATTTAAACAGCTTTAAGAGCCACATTTGAATTTTGAATTAATTCAAATTCTAGCGAAGAGTGTTCAGTAAGTAGCACTGAACCATGAAACCTCTTACCGTTCCCAAGAGGAACATCCAATACTTGGTGTGACTGTGATTTTTTTTTCCTAGCCTTACTCTCTGCATCACTCTCCTTTCTTTTGAATAATGAATTTTGAAAGTAAAATAAATGGTTGCAGAGACTGAGATATCCCTTACAGTTCTTGCTTTTTCTCCTATAATAAACAGGAGCCTGATCAGTACCCCTCAGAATATAATTAATACTGAGTCCTAGAAGTGGCAAGACTACGCATATGCTTATCTGAGAGAGATTATGTCATCTGTTTTATTTTGGCTACAACACACCAGTCAGCAGAAAACATATTTGAAATTTTTTTTATACTGAATTAGTGAGATACATACTAATAAGCCAGTTATGAAAGATTCTGTGGAAGTCCTTATACTTACTTTAGAATGCAAACTCTCCATTCAAGATTGCTGTATTGACCTGTCCATATTCACCCTGTTTTCCTATATCCTGCTTGAGGTACCCAAGTGTGACTACAGAACGAGATAACGAATAGGAATACCAATACAACTATGAAAGATTCTGTAGTCTAACAGCAGTAATTCACAGACCGCTATTTGTAATTTGAAACATTTTCCCCAACCTCTTCCTTGTAACTGTTGTCATAAATAATGAAAATATTCACATTACCTACACACAGAGCTCTTGTTTCTTTCTGTTCCACGTTTCAGACCTAACACTTTTCATGTTTATTAGTCTCCTGTTTCCTTAAAGGGCAAGTTTAAATCAAAACACTGACATTTTTCATATTTTAGATATTATTCTATAAATAAAGTTATTTGGTAAATCTTACCTCTTCAAAAGTGTGTTCTACAGCAGATTTTACAGTCATGTAGTGTCTTTGGCCATCACAGAAGCCTTTTTTTGCCGTGAAACAGCAGCTGTTTGGAGAATCCAGTCATGGACCAACTCTCCCCTGTAACAGAGAGAACAACAAAACACTAACTGTAGCAGGGGATTTTGGATGCTGCATTCAAGATGTCCTTAATTAGAAGACAGGATTGTAATTTTTCCCTTCTTATGACCCAATAGACAGATGCAGCTGGTCAGTAAATTGTGCCTACTTAAACCTGGTTCATGGGATCTCATCAGGAAAAACCCTCAGGTAGTATCTTACAGGAGTGCATGAGTTTTATCCCTTGCATGAAAAAGAGGGAAGAGGGAACCGTAGGCAGAAGTCAAGGTTGGAAGTGTCATATGCAGCAAGTAAGACTTGCCCAGCTTGGTATAGTCTCCAGGTGAGATATGTCAGGAATCTTTCTACTGAAGTCAGATTAGTGTTTCTGGAAGCCAGCTCAACCCATACCTAGATTAATTTGAATGTTATGACTAGTCACTATCTCAGAGCAAATGTGTTTTGTTGATAAAGATGGCACACATGGGCAAGGTTTACTCTGCGTAGTATGAAGACTATGTGGGTGACTAGTTAACAGAGCTCAACAGATGCTGTTCCACTTGACTGTTACTGAATATTTTGTGACTAATAATCGATTAAAAAAACCGCAAAAGTCAAGAATTAAGGCTTTGTCAACACTTTCAGATATTATTACACAGAAGATACCAAATCTTTTGTTGAAATAAATGACAGCGGGGAGCCCAGTGGATCCCCTTTGGCTGCTGGAAAGCATCTTGTACAACTTGTAGTGATGCCATGTATGAACAAGCAGCTACCAGGGCTGGGTTCAGCTCCAGGTGTCTCTGCTTTATCACCCGCAAAAGGGATTCACATCCAAGTCCCGTTGTGTTGAATATTACAAGAGGCCAAACCTTGACTACCCCATGGTGGCAGTGATGACAACTGTCCTTATTAATGCTGACAACATTAAAGACGAGCATGAGGGAAGACAAATTGGCTGCTAGCGTTCTGCCCCACGCATCACTAAGATCGCAGCTGCTCTCTTCACGTACGTTCTCTTACACATACACATTTGTACTTTTTAGCCCACGCCGCACACCCACGACTGCTGGCGTCCAGTGGATCGCCGCAGCCGGGCTCACACCGGGCCTTTCCCCGCTCGGGGTGGCGATTTACCAGCAGACGGCGGCATCTGTGCCGCACCGTGCCGGCTAAGGGCAGTGGGCCCCTCCGCAGTCCCCGCCATGCTCCTACCCGATTCACAGGCTCCCTTCTGGACCTGGGCGACGGCGGGCAGGCCGTGCTGCAGCGCCTTGCGGCTCACCGCCTTCAGCTGGCAGATGTTGTCGTAGGTCCGGCCGTCGCTGCCGCACACCTGGGCGCTGAGC